GGAAGCCTAGTCTGAGGTGAGTACGTTTGGCAAGCCCTAACTTCATTCCTTTCACTTTGAAGTAAATAATGACGTTACTTCACATGTTGCTAAAAAAATCATGATGGAACTACAGCATGACGTGATACTTTTTTGTTCGATAACCTTTTTATTTGTAAAGTTAAACATTTACCACTAATACAGATATTTATACTGGTCACTATAGAAACCACTATATGATAAACAATGGCTCGAATGTCATTAAAAAAGTTGACATATACGGTTGTTTTTGATATCGTTAACAATAAATGTCGCTTGCAGGACTAATTTCTCTTGTTGACCTAAGTTTCGATAATGATTTTGATCCAATATTGCGAGGGCAGATGTAAGCCTGATAGCCACTCATGGTATCAAATAAAATCTATTCACCACTTAGAAACTTTTCTAAATTTTTGAGGGCTCAAAAACTAGTGAAATTCCCACAATAACCAAGGAGGTCAATGCAGTACCTAATGTTTACTTCGAAAGGATATCTCAAGAGTGAGCTAAAAGGATGAAACTTCCTATAAAATATCACAACAACTATCTCGAATAGATGATGTAGAGCGATGGATGGAATCTCGTTTCTCTGAATAGATTTAGCGAAGTGCACGAACTTTTTGACTACCCTATGTAAAACCAGCAGTGAAGCAAAAAGAAGTATTATGCCATTATTTTCATCCTGTCTTATATAAAATGAATTAAAAGTCGTAAGCTCAAGACAGATTTCATTACTCAGTGTTGTATGAATAAGAGTTTAAAAAACACGTTGACATAGCTTCTTCGAGAGATAAAGTGTTAGCTCAATGACATTCTGTTTTAAGTTAATTTCCTAGTTCTGAAATCATGCTTAGAACAAAAAATTCATGTAGTAGAAAAATTCTGGAATTGTTTTCAAAATTGAAATCTTAGTCTCGAGACTGACAGTACATCAAGAGAAAGGATTTCCATGATATATAGTGGCAACTAAAAAGATAAAATGAAGTCTTTTACCACATCCTGCAACCTGTATTGATAGGGTGTGAGTGTGGGTGTGAGTAAAGGAAAGATCTATATTTACACCCACCCACACCCTTTTCCTATTTTATTTGTTCTATGTTCTTCATATATTTATAGATCCATACTACCACCTTTCGAAATTCCGATAAAACTGCAGTAAAATTAGCTATATATTTAAAATTAATTGGTGAATTTTCAGGAATCTTAAATTCTGCACGAATTTCTAATCATCTCATTCTTTTCATAATTTTACCAATTTTTAAGTCTTTAAAAATTATATTGAATTTGTCAACAAAAAAATCGTAGCTTAAGGCCAAGTGAAATTGGGGAGCAAATGTGATTGGAAAGCATGTGTTCGGGAAGCAAATGTGATTGGAAAGCATGTGTTCGGCGAGCAAATGTGATTGGAAAGCATGTGTTCGGGGAGCAAATGTCATCAGGGAGCAAGTATCCAGGGAGCAATTGTCATAGGAGAGCAAGTATCCGGGGAGCAATTGTTCTTGGGGAGCAACTGTCCTTGGGGAGCAAATCTCATGAGAGCAAATGTCACGGGAGCAATTGTCGCTGGAGAGCAATAGTCCGGAAAGCAATTGTCACGGGAGCAAGTATCCGGGGAGCATCATTCATGGATTCGAATTAAATTATTTGAGTGAGAGAAAATAATCTCAAAGAAGTAGGATTAGTCGATTTCTACATGCATATCGATCTGATGACTTCATTGATAAATTATTTTTCTTAATTACTCGGTTGATTGTCACTTAGTGTGAATGGTATATAGATGCAGAATTTCAGCTAGAATTCATCAGATACACACAATGACGACTGTCGCTTATTAAAGAAAATTGAAAGTTTATTTGTTGAGAAACTAGTACAGCCATTCAATTTTTTTCTTTTGCAAAACTTTTGCACCTTTTGCTGGAAGTATTACATAGAAATGATATTCTATCATCAGTTGCAAAATAACTCATGACAGTTCATCTAGTCTACTATATATCCATGCACTATGCATGAACTCTTTTGTTATATCATTTTCCCAAAAAATGAAGGATGCTTCATCTTGACATAATTCCATTTCGCTTCATTTTGTAAGTAACAATCTGAAATTTTACTCCAAATTAATTACTGTTTTTGTGTGTATGAATGATGATGATCTGATTTTAGAGGCACTGTTAAATAATCATGGGTCAAAGCAGATAGCAAAAAAACAGCTCGACTTGGCCATCGCTTGGAGGAAATATGATCAAGTGGCAAATGACATTCTAACTGATCAAAATGCTTTCGAATGGACCGATGTGGAGTTAAATGACTCATTGAGACATGCATTGGATCAACATTCTGTTAATTTCATTGAAATGCTAATTGATTATGGTGCATCATTTAATGCATTACGACGGCTTATTAACGTCAATGATTTATATTACCAACTAGTAGGATAATTATACATTCTTTCTCTAGTCATCCATGTGTTCTGTTTTATATTTTATTTGATAGGCTAAGAATGACCTTTCGACTAATCTTCCTATGAGTTTTAATAATAGAAAAGGAGAACAAATACGGGAAAAATACTATCGGTCTTACGTGGGAGAAGACTTTGCTACTCAGGGTCCTTCTATGCAACAGGTAACTATAAAACTGCATACATATTGATTCATTTGTATCCCTCATGTCTTATATTTTTAGAAAGCTCATAATTCACTGTTAAGTTCGTAATCACAATTGTGTTTCATATTATTGATCAGTTTTTTGTCTAAATAGATAATAGGTACGGGATCATTGATGATTGGCGAAAATATGAATCATTTTTAAATGGAATGCTAGTATTTTCACGCGATGATGTCATTCGAAAAAATGGTCACGTTACAAGCTTATCTATCAATTTTCATACACCTCCCGAGGGAGGGTCAGGTACTCATGTCCCCAAGATTTTTCTCTACATCATTGCGAAACCAAAAGATAAAAATCAGTTCATTATTCTCAAAAAATATGAATTACCAGAGACCTCAGCTATCGATTTGAAAAATAAAGAACATCCAAAGAATGAAGACAAAACAAAGTCAGATATTCGAACCGTAGCCATACAAGAACCGACTCTTTACCTAACGACTAAGCAGTTCTTAGGAGTTGGATTTGGGAGTCACTCAGGCAAACCTTACAATGTGAAAGGTGGTGACTGTTATTATATTGATTTAAAAACAGCTGATCATGTACTGGAAACACACGGGACTCACCCATTTATCAAGCAAGCAATCTATTGTCCCACGTTCACTTTCACAATCACACCAGCACCAGGTTTGCTAATATCTTCTAGATGAATATCAGAAACTACTTGTAAAAACCCTTTCTTTAGATTTTGTACATGAACTTTTCCTTTGGTCGGTATTTGCTGATCGCTCGGATTTAGCAACTTGTCTATGTTCACATTCTAAGGTACACTAAAAAGATTTTTGAATTATTCAACATTCGAGCTTAATGATTATTCTAGAGCCCAATCATGGATTCTCTCGTAGCAAGCAAAATCTATCGAGCTGCAATTGAAAAAACAAATGAAAAAAAGAAAAAGAAGGAATACTTAAAAAATGCAGAGTATGATTTTTCTCTTTTAATTATATCCTCCTTTAGAAAC